CTCTAGCCAATGACATGCTGACATACTCAGGATTACAAGTGATTTGAAGTCCGGAGCAAAGAAGCTTGAGTTAAAGACAAAGACAACACCGAATCTAATAACTGTATCAAATTACACACACTTCGCAAAGCAATTACAACTGATTACAAAATTGTAATGGGCAAGGTCTAGAAAGACTTCTAAGAGTTCAAACAACATATCGTGTTGGGAAACAAATAATACAATGAAAAACAAAAAAGAACCCCCCCCCCCCAGAAAAAACAACAACTACCCAAATTAAGTTGCTGACAATCTATTTATTTATAAATGCTTTTAGTCCAGCAATCTTTTGGTACAGTGTGTCAGTAAGTCATTTGTTTGTTTGTTCATTTGTTTGTTTCTGTTTTCTTTTATCTTGTTTTAGTTTTAGTAAGAGTTTTACGGCACTTGCAACTCAATAAGGTCATATAAGTGCCGAAGATTAGAGGTGTTACAAGAAGAGGGTAACAAACACAAAAAAGAGGGGAGGGGGGGTAGACAAAGACTATCGTTTCTTTATAGGAAAGAAGGAGCAGACCACACTAGAGCATCAGTTAACCTCCCACTTTCTGTTATCTCACAGAAGAGATTCTGTGTTGAAATGCTTTCTTTCCGTCGTTTCTCTTTCTTTGATCTCACAGACGAGATTCTGTGTTGAGATGATTTCTTTCCGTCTTTTCTCTTTCTGTTATCTCACAGACGAGATTCTGTGTTGAAATGCTTTCTTTCCGTCGTTTCTCTTTCTGAACCACCAAAACATAGAAAGCTGACATAAACTATTTTTCTTAATTAAAACCAATTATTTGGGGGAAATGGCGTAAAACAGGGAGCCGTACGGTCCATTTGGTCGCTTTTGAGCACAAGGGGGCTATCCCGAAAAATGCTGGATTGAGAAAATCGAAGGTAAAGTTTTTTGGTCCTTGTTCAGTTTATTTAAAAGACAGGGAGAGTTTTCTCTAGATCTATAACCAAACAAATATACACACCAATGGAACCAAACTTCTCCTGTAGGTAGGGCAATATCCACTTTTAGTGTTGGGTAGGTCAAGATTTCTGCCCCCCCCCCTTCCCCCTTAGAAATTTGGGTTAGCGCGCCTGTCCTTAACCATATCCTTACGCCTGGGGTCATTTTGTCCAGGGGCTTGTATTCTTCACATTTTAGAATACTTCTAGATCTAGTGCGAAGATCCCTTTGAAACTTTCAGTATTTCTCAAAAAATCATTTTGACATACTGCTAAACAAAGCGCACGGATCGGATTAACGAATAAATTTCCTCTTTGGAAAGTGGGGGCACAGAGTTCCCCACGTCGTATGAATACGATAGTAAAACACGGCGTACGGATAGGGTTAAAGACGACCATACTTTTGGGTACCAGAATGACTCACCTGTTTCTGTACGTCTCCGGGAAAGGAAAGACCAATCTTCACTGATGAGGACACACTAGGACAGTCACACGTCGCAGTTTACGATCTCTGTCTGTCTGTTTGTCTGATTTCCTCTAGCTTGTTGCTTTCTCCGTAATCTGGATTGTTCTTCCTCTTGAGGACCTCACGTAGTTATTAGACAGTCTTGAGTGTTGGGTTTTTTCTTAGCTTACAGCACAGTTAAGAGTCTTTTATTCTTATTTTTCTTTCTTTCCGATTTAATGTGCGTCCTTTGTACTCCACGGTATTTAGTTCTCTGGAATACAGGCAATCAAATTTGTACTTTATTCTTCGTCGTTTTGACTAATAACCGGAATGCAGAACTTAATATAAACAAAAAAATCTGTGACTGAAGTTTTGCCGGCTGTTGGGTGAGGCTGACAGTTTGTGCTTTGTTTCCGGTGGCGAGCGCTGGTTAAATATCCTGCCGCTGGACTAATCGTGTAGGTGGGCCTGCTCGCTCGCGCCTGCGCACTTCCGATTCCACGTGAGTTGTTTAGTAGACCACGTGAGTTGAGAAAACTGTGAGTGGAGAGATGGTCACACCCACACACACACATACACCCACCCACACCCATCCACCCACAC